GAAGGCAGGGGCAGAAGACATTGTATCTTTTTTTTTCCATTTTATTACTATTTTTTATTGTTATGTTAATCACCATACATTACATCATTAGTTTTGGATGTAGTGTTCCATGATTCATTGTTTGCGTATAACACCCAGTGCTCCATTCAATACATGCCCTCCTTAATACCCATCACCAGGCTAACCATCCCCCCCCAGAACCCTCAGTTTGTTTTTCAGAGTCCATCGTCTCTCATGGTTCTTCTCCCCCTCCGATTTTCCCCCTTCATTCTTCCCCTGCTGCTATCTTCTTCTTTTTTTTTTTTTTTTTAACATATATTGCATTATTTGTTTCAGAGGTACAGATCTGTGATTCAACAGTCTTGCACAATTCACAGTGCTCACCATAGCACATACCCTCCCCGGTGTCTATCACCCAGCCACCCCATCCCTCCCACCCACCCCCACTCCAGCAACCCTCAGTTTGTTTCCTGAGATTAAGAATTCCTCATATCGGTGAGGTCATATGATACATGTCTTTCTCTGACTGACTTATTTCACTCAGTATAACCCCCTCCAGTTCCATCCACGTCGTTGCAAATGGCAAGATCTCATTACTTTTGATGGCTGCATAATATTCCATTGTGTATATATACCACATAGAAGACATTGTATCTTAAGAGGAAGCCCAGGGTAGCATCTCAAGTGTCACCTCTGTCTCTGCTCACACACTGTCCTCTTTTCCAGAGCCCCTTCCCAAGGGCCTCATCTGCTCCCACATTCGCTGGTATGCACCACAGCATCTTGCTGCACATACAGCAATGCTCAAGAGCACTGGTTATACAGAGTTCACTTCATTTAAAGGAGAAGCATACGCCCATGTCCGTGTAAAGGAGAAGCGCTCACATCAGTGGGGTTTCAAACTGGGGGGGAGGGGAGAGGTACTTATGAGTTTCCTGCTCTAGCAACAGCTCTTAGCGGTGAGGACCCTTGCATCCCACAAAGGTGGCATGACTTATCCAAGGTCACACAGTCTGGGGCTCAAACCTGGGTTATAAGCAAGAATTCCTTTTTAAATAATACTATCACTGACCCTGAAAACAGCAACCATTATGGGGTGCTTGCGGTCTTCCAGACATGGTGCTGAATTATGAACATAATTATCTCATTGCATTCTCACCTCATCACAGGGAGGAAACCGAGCCTCCCAGGGGTCCAGTAACTTGTCCATGGTCACACAGCTACCGAATGGGAGTTGGGATCTGACCCAGGTGGTCTGGCTCCTGAGCTCAGACTCTTGCCTGCTATGTGATCTAGATTTGACACAGCATAGAGGTCTAGGCGGGAGGACACATGCTTAACATTCTCCTGGGGACCAGATGTTATCCTTGCTGGATCACCTTGACCTCAGTCTCATGTTCTAATTGCAGATCCCAGGGAGAGGAAGAGCTGGTATTTGGAGCAGGTGAATGTTCACTAGGCATTGCTGATAATTAGCTTTCATTTGGAGCAGGGACTCTTGAATGGGGATAGTCCCTTCTAGATGATTGCTACGTTCTTTACAACTTTGAGGAGAAATTATATGAGTGTGACTTCCTTGACCCTTGTTAGGCAAAACTTGGTCACATGCTAAGTTTCCTGACCTCCAGATGAGAATCCTGAACCCACATAAAATTGTTGAGCTGACAACTTCATGGGGTTGATGGTTCAGCTGGAGTCTCTTCATGGTTCAGCTGATAATTTCCAACAGAATAAAATATGGACAGGTTCTGATTCCCCTTTCTTTTGTGATATTTCCTTGGGGAACTGATACATTTTTGCATGGGCCGTCTATACATGCCATCGGGAAGAGAAAGACCTACATTCCCTTTCACGGAAATTAATAATGATAGTAGCTGCCAGTTTTAAGGACTCTGCCAGGAATAGATATGTGTACATATCTGTTCCTTTAATCTGCCCAACAGGCCAATGAGGTAGGAATTATAACACCCGCTTTACAGATGAGGAAGTGAGGCTCAGAAAGGGAAATTAATTTTCCCAAGGTCACACGGCTCCCAAGCCACAGAGCCAGAGGCAAACCGGATCTGTCGCACCCCAGAGTCCTCAGTCTTAAGCGCTGGGCTCTGCTTGCATTGGTCTTAGTGAACAGCCAGAAATAAGGGCCATATTGCTGTTCCTCAACTCTCTTAAAACCACAGTGACGTTATGGGTGTTTTTTTTTTTTTTTTTAGATTTTATTTATTTATTAGATAGAGAGAGAGCACTGAGCTGGGAGGAGAGGGAGAAGCAGGTTCCCCTCGAGCAGGGAGCCCAACAGAGGGCTATCCTAGGACGCTGGGATCATGACCCGAGCCGAAGGCAGTGCTTAACCAACTGAGCCACCCAGGCGCCCCTTTTGGATTGATTTTAAACTTAAGGTTCCAGAATGGTCACATTTCCTCCATCGTATGGTTTGAGAAACAGGAAGAACCATGACTGGGGAACACTTTGAAGGTTGCTGATTTTTTTGGGGGGGGGTGGCAGATTGGGAGCACAATCAAGTTTAAATGCAAATGGCACTCCCCTTGGTAGACCTGGGGGAGCCAGATGACATTAGCTTAAAATTTGCTTGTATGAACAGAGTATTTTCTTTGTTGCATACCAGCCTGGGTGCTATAGAATGTTTACCTCCTCCTCTGTAAGAGGAAGTCCACCTTGTTCATACCCCATTCCCAGCATTTAGTACAGGGCGTGGTACAGAGTAAGAGATCAATGAGGCTTTTTCCAAAAACTGAATGCAAATTTTTTCATTCACTAATATTAATATTTGCCCACGCACACACCTAGGAAGTAGCCACATGGAAGGATTCAAATGGCAATTTATCCAGTTCCAACACCGTGTCCTTCCTGCTGTTGGTGCCTTTATGGGGCTTCCATTCTGACAACTAAAGGACACACTATGGGTCCTGTTCACACCCATTCTCAACCGCATGCTCCAAAACGCCTTCTGCTCTCCCGCTCTTCTCTCTGTCCCCACCCTTTAGTCAAAACTCTCATTCATTTATCACTGTCTCTACTATGTGTTCATCTAATAATTATTGAGCACAGTAAACGCTAATCACTGATGATGGAAGACAAAAGATACCCGAGACCACTCCCCCATCCTTGCCATCAGGATATTCACAGGAGAGAAATGTAAAAACAATGAAAAGTGCTATGACCAAACAAGTATAAAGTTACATCTCCTGGGGGTGGGGGCTGAGGAGGGTTTGGGCGGTGAGGTTCGTGCTGAGCCTGGTGAGACGTGGCAGGGAAAGAAAAGAAAAGAAAAGGGTGTTCCAAGTTCAAGGAACAGCTTGAACTGAGTGTGATGTACCTGGCAAGGGGCAGCAATCAGAGCAGCCCAGAGTGCCAGGGTGAAGAGAGAGGGAGGAGGCAGGGAAGCAGGCGAAGGCCCTATTGCCGAGGCTCTGAAGGCCCTGCTCAGCCCAGTTCTCAGAAAAGGACAGACAAAGCAAAACAGGACATCTAAAAAGAAACAAGTTTTAATTTCAACGTACCTTTGAGTTTTGTTGAAATTTCAAAACTATTTCGAAATATATCTTTATTTCAAGTTGAAGCATTTTTTAAAATTTGGAATTACATGTGGAGAACATCACTATCATTTTTTCAGTGGTTAGGGTCTCTTAAATGTCTCTCTCTGGCTCTGACTCTGTTACAGAAATTGGACACCAGCCGACCTCAGCTTTGGGATATAGGCAGGATTGTGTTGAGGCAGTTTGCAAAATTGCTTTGTGGATGACCTATAACAGCACCCCTTAACCTACTCAGGGGTACTAGCAGTTTATGATGTTAGGTGTTTGTCCAAAGGACCTCTCACTGGTGGCCTTTCAGGAACTGTGACAAAGGAAGCATGATAGGGAGGGTCTCTTTCCACAGTTCTAGAATTAGGAATCAGGGCCCCTGGTGAAACGTCAAGGACTCTGCTTTCCAAAGAGAAGTCAGCCCTCTCCCCCAGAGCTATAAGAACCTCCAAACTTGTCCTGTCATTCCCAAGCAGCCCAGTCATCCTTATCTCATGTTAAATAAGACATCTTATGGGACACGATGCTCTTGGCCAGAAGTTACACGTGCCTTCCTCTGCCCCCACTGCCACTGGGGAGGGAGGGCGGGCGTATTCCTCCCAAAAACCAAGGCGGGTATTTCAGAAAATCACTCGTCTAGCTTAGGAGTGCTTACAAGAAGGGGGAAATGAAATCTCACTCCCCAGCCGGTTGGTTACTGCAGCCACCCCGCCCCCGCCCTCCCACCTCAGTGCTGCCTGATGAGGGACATCCTAGAAGAGCCCAGCATGTATGTTGAGAGTTAGGGTTCTCAGAAAAGAAGGTGAACGAGATGAAGTGAAACTCTCTGCCGCAAAAGGACATATATCATATAGGCAAAGACCACCACAACTGCTTAAATCAGACCAAGCCAGGAGACTAAGGGGGCCTCATTCCCAGCAGCAGGTGACCTAGGAGCAGCCCTGTCAGCTCTCCTGACTCTCCCTGTCCTCATACCAGAGACCCGAGGGACCAGAGCAGGGCGGGGAGGAGTGAGACAGGGGGCTGCTCCCCGGCTAACACCCAGTTCCTAGATTGTAATTTCTATAAGGGTGTATTCGTGCCGAGCATGCGCCTGGCCCAGAGGAGGCATTTACTTGGGTTGAAAAAGGAATGCATGGATAAAGTATGTAATAAAAGTTAGCGCTTACCCCAACCCCACTCCACCCCTTTCTCTGTCACTCACGGCTTTCCTGCTTTAGTCACGGCTTTTCTGCTCTAGGAGATTCCTTACTCATCTGCCCTTGGAGGGTGTTCCTTCAGCTCAGACTGGCTTGGGCAACAGCAGGGCCTTCCTCAGGAGACCTATCGGTGTGAGTTCTTCAAGAAGGAGTTTCTGGGCAGGGCTTAGGCTCTCACGTGCCTAGTCCCACCCCTGGCCTTGCATTCTAGCTCAGTGGGCGGAAGAGCATAAATTGCAGCTGTTCCCAGCCTTGCTGCGTTTTTACCGAAGACTTCCAACAGCAACATGAAGTTGGGGGGCTTCCTCCTTCTGGTAACGCTCCTCACCCTCAGCTCGGAGGTACAGGAGCTCCAGGCTGCAGTGAGACCATTGCAGCTTCTGGGTAAGTCCCGGCAGAAGGCAGCCGGTTCTCTGCATGAGGGAGCTGAACAGTGGGCCAGCAGGGACTGCTGTGCTCTGAGGCGGGGGCGGGGCGAAAGGTGAGAAGGAAAGATCCTCTAGTCCAGGAGCCACCTTGACTGCCGCACCTCTCTCCTTCTGCGTCCACTCTTCCCCTCTTCCTTTCTTTGGGTCTTCCCTTCAACTGGACTCTCCACTCTTCCCTTTTGCTTCCCCATCAGCCACCCGCCATCTTCCCCAGCATCTCTCTCCCCCATGGGTTTCTTGGTCTCTTGTTACAAATAGATAAGATCACAAGAGAACATATTTTCTTAATCGTGTTATATGGGAGTCATCTTAATCTCCGTTTTTCCTTTTACCACCAACATTCTCAAAGTAGCAATCTTAACTCTCTGCCCTAACTTCCTCACAACTCATTCCTTTGCCTCCTCAAGATTATTGCCATTCCTGTCCCCATCAGTCTCCAGAAACTTCGCTCCCAGGGTCAGCTGATAAATATCTTGACTCTCCTCAGCAGCAAGTCTGTAACCTCTGCAACACCTGACATGGTTAGCCACTCCATCAATCCTCAAACTTTCTCCTCTCCGGGATGATCGTCCCTGGAACTCCTACTTCTCCCTAAAGATTCTTGGATTTAACTCTTACTCCTCTCTCTTCTTTGCTGTCCTCCCCCCGCATTTAAACCTGTTGCCAAATACCGTCCATTCTTTGAAATTGTCTCTTGCGTGTGCTCCTTCCTTTCCACTCCCCATTGCCACATTGGCCCATCTGGCCCTGATTACCCCGTACTTGGGCCAGTGTGGTGTGGTTTCCTGACAGCACTTCCTGACCCTCGATTGCTTCTGAGGTTTGCTTGCTCACTGAATCCTGGTCCACTCTATGCCCTCATGCCAGAATAATCTTCTTAAGTGAACTGCAGTCATATCCCTCCCTTGGCCTACCAAGTGAAACCCAAACTCCTCAGGTCCTCAAGGTCTGGCCCCCGTAACTTTACCCCCCACCTACTTTTCCTGCCTGACTCCCAACTGCCCCTTATACTTATCCAGCCTTGCATTTATTTGACAGTCCTCCCATATTCCTTGTATTGCAGGCTAAGGAGTAAGGAGATGAGGCACCCAGGGTGCCACATTTAAGGGTGTGCTCACTCTCAGGGGTGTGCAAGTGCCTCCTTAAACTTTGTGCTGCAGGTGCCTTGCATGCCTCTTCCTACTCCAGGCCCTGTTACATTTCCCCTTGTGAACTTTTGTTAGTAATTTTTTTCTCTTCTGCAAAACTCTACCACCCCCCTCAATTCTGCCTTAAAAAGATTCCTGTACTTCAAGACCCTCCTTTTTTTGGTTAATCTAATTGGAAGTAATGTTCTCTCTCTTCTGAGCCCCTTTTCCTTTGGATATACCTCTTCTCAGGACACTTGTCCCATACTGCCTTATTTTTCGTACTTTAAACACGTCTTATCTCCACTCTTAGACTCTATGCTGCTTTAAGGTAGTGACCCTTGTATCTTTATATTTTCTCAATAACTTAGCCCTATGCTTTGTACCTAGTAAGAAATCAACAGATTTACTGAATGACCAAACTGCTATGAGTGGAGACAAAGTCTTCAACCTTCTCACCATTAGTCAACAACAGCAAATTGTGTTGACTTTCTCTGAGGTCTGCAAGTATATTGTAGACATCCCACCAAGCCCATTCTTAGAGTCTCCCATTGCTAGTCATCACAGCATTTTTTCCTTCTGAGCCTGGACAAGGTGTCCCAGCCCCTTCAACACAGCATCAGATAGTCATCTCTATGGATCAGAATTGACACTGGAGAATGAACTTCATTTTCCCTGCTAGATCCAAGAGCTCCATTTTACATGTGAGGAAAACAAAGGCCCAGAAAGTCCAGACATGGAATCAGGTAGAGAAACTCGTGGTAACAGCTAAGTAGAAGCAAAAGCACAGCACAACAGAAGCATAGCACACATTGGTCCAGAGCTCTGCCTACATTTAACTAGAAGCTCCTGTGGGGTCTTAACCAGCTTCTTGGACCTACTTCCTTGGTTCTCAAAGACTAACTTTGAGCCTCTGGGAACCTGGGGAGCCTCCACTCAGACCAGGAGTGACTCCTTGAAATTTGGAGATGTGTTCTTCATGTCAGGGTCTGTTTCATCATGTGGGATGGCAGAGGGAGCTTGGCCTAGGGGCCAGGCAGGTCTCCGTTGAATTCCACTTCTGTACCTACTAGTGGGCAGTTCACCTCTGTGCACCCCAGCTGCCATGCCTATAAGATGAGACGAGTCAGACTCACCTCGCAGGGTGAGTGCAAGGCACTCTTGATGGCATTTGGTAGATATGAGTCTCCCCTTTTCTGCCCCTTTCCCTGCAAAGTAGGGAAGTGAGGACATTTGAGTGGGCTTCTTTGCACTTTGCTTCTGCATACACAGTTACGCTCTTCTTTAAAGTAGGCCTTACTTTATTATGATTATGTGAATTCATTGTTTTTAATTGAAATAAATAAGACGTTAATGAGTATTGTTCTGTGAGTAATCATTTACAAATTCCCTTATTCACCGAACTGAAAGACAGAAGTGGAATGGGTTCTTTTAATCAGTCAAGGGCTATCCTCTCTGATACCTGTGCTTAAAGCAGGGTGGTTTTTCAGCTGGTCTGTTCTAACATAGGCACCTGCGTTGAGCTCTGCAATGATGACTGGGATTGTGATCCAGGAGAGCACTGCGTCAGCAATGGGTGTGGCCACATCTGCGCTACAGCCTAGGGACAGGTAAAAACATCAGGTCCTTCCCTGCTTCCTCAAAACTTGTCTGAGCTGGCTGGCGGGCTGGCTCTGATGGGACCTTCCAGAAGTGGGTGCGGTAGAAACCTCTCTGTGGCCTTTCCCTCTTCACACCCTTTCCAAGAAAAAGAAGCATCTATCACAGGATGCTGGCTTCCAAACCTTTAAAATAATTTCATTACCCAGTATATCCAGGAGAGAAATTAGACTATTTATTTGAACAAAAAGAACATAAAAATCAGTCACATTACCCCCCCATCCCCAAATGATACTTGCTTAATACTTTGGTGCATATTTTAAACACACGTGCAAATACATAATATACATATTGAAATGAGATAATATTGTGTCTATTTTGATTTCTTAATTATTTCACTTAGAAATAGCTAGTGAACAACTTTTTTTTAAATTTTTTTATTGTTACGTTAATCACCATACATTACACCATTAGTTTTTTTTAAATAATTTTTTATTGTTATGTTAATCACCATACATTACATCATTAGTTTTTTTTT